GACGAAGTCGTACAGGTCTCCGTACTCTAGGCATCGTAACCGATCGTAAAGGATGTCAAGAACCAAAATCCGCCAACGTTGATTCTTTACTGCGGCTGAAATATTCATTTTTAGAGCGTTAGTGAATTAAAAAAAAGCAGTATAAAAACCGGAATGTCCAACTGATAAGGCTGAAAATGTTTTCGCTTGTTATTTACAGTAAGATAAATACATTCACCAACTTTTATCAAAATAAAACCATTTAAACTGGGTGTTCGGATTCATATGTCACTTAGTATACTTAGCAAGTATTTCGGCCTGGTACTTCGATGGTGATGTGCCTGCTCGGTGTAGCCTTTGAAGTTCTTTGTGATCGACGTCAAAACGATTGAAATCGTACCCGAAGACACCGGACGATTTTTGGCACTTTTTCGGTCTCGATTGAGCGATACTCGTGAATCAATACCGCCGATTATCGATTCGGTACGCCGATATCCTGTTCGCAGCGCCAATTAAGAATGTGCAAACAACGAACGACTTTTTAAAAAAGCGACTTTATTTAACAGAAGACGAATGAGTACTGGTCACCTTGGTTTACATGCATCTCTTACTTATAACCTACGCTAGAACAAAGGAATCGAAAAGTGCAAACCTAAGCAACTCTACATATTAGATCATCATCATAGCAGTGCCGTAATTCGCGTAAAACGCGCGAGTCGAGAGTCTCGCTGGCTGCACGCGTTTTACGCGCGAGTTGTAAAACGCGACGCAGCACCTGGACGGGATGATTGTGTCAATAGGTCAAACACACAGTGCACGCGAGATTCTCGCTTACCGGTAGTCGAAGCAGATTGGCGCCTGTTTCTCGCGCCGAGATAGCACAGAGTGGATGCCGGTAAAAGCGAGGAAAATCATTTTAAAAACTCGCTAGTCGCGTTCTTTATCTATTCGCAGCAACATGTCGTCTTCTGATGATGATCTGATTGCTTTAGAGTCGATTTCTACCAAAGTAAGAAGGAAAAGGGTTGGAATACATTCTATTAATCGTGAAAGAATAACTTATGGGGAATACCATCATTTATTTCCAAGCTTGAAGAAAGATGATAAAAGATTCTTCCAGTATATGAGAATGAGCCAGGACACATTCAATTATATTTTGGAGAAAGTTGGGAATCGTCTAACCAAAAATTGGTGTAATCTGCATAAGCAACCTATATTACCAGAAGAAAGGCTTGTTATAACTTTAAGGTAAGTTTTCTCGTGAAAAAATAATCAGAATCATTTTCAAAGTATCATACTCATTCAGTAATGGCCTGTTGCGCCAGCACTAGTTCTACTTAACTTGAGATTAGACGTAAAATTAGTTCAATTTGTAGATTTCTGTTGCACAGGCTTAACTTGAACTGTGAGTTTTGTGAGTTTAAACATCGTTTTAGTCTGAGGGTTTGTTTATACGTTTGTTTTTTGGTCGATTTCCTGCCTCGTGATCGAATCTTTTCTCTAAACGTGAATCAATTGCAGCGTAAAATGAAATAACAGTTAGATACTTACAAATATTGTTTTATTGATTTTATCAGTTGTACAATAATATTGAGTCATGGATGGATACCATTTTCTGGTAATGATAAAGATACATAAGTTTTATTTTGCTGTTGGTTATTATCAAGGAGCCTAGAAACAGTAGCGGGAAGACTTTGAAACATGACTGATGGTTGGTTTAAGGGAATGGACGAATGCGTAGTTTCTTGTATGTTATGATAGTTGGGAGAAGGCGCGCAGCTATTCTGATCTATGTTATAAGGAGAAGGCGCACTACAATGGGATGATGCAGAAGATGACAGATGAGAAAAGGTGTTATGTTGGTAGGAAAATTGATCCACTAATTCTTGCACGCGGGAACGGAAACATAATATTCTGTTTGCAGGTATTTGCCTTACATGTGGAAGCAAACTTTTGAAAAATGACATATGCTCGTCATCTTGATCACTGCAACCTCTTTTGGCCTTATTTTCGAGATATTCCACTTTGCGTTTTTCTATTTCCAGCATTGATTCTTGATATGCATCGGTAGCAGTTCTCCTTTTTCTCTGTGCCGTAATGGATGCTGAGGTAGGATTCGTTTTCCTTGAAATAGGAGTAGGCGGTACCACGCAACCTTCACTTTCTCGAGAAGACTCTTCATTATCGCTATTCTCGTTCGAAGATTGAATTTCTTCTGTCTCCTGTGTGGACTGAGCTGACTGCATCATCGATAAATTGCCGCTGGCTGCCCTCGGTTTGATCACGTCCTTCAGGAAAAGAAGTTGTGTGAAATACGGCCATTTGGATGTAGGAAGATCTTCGGCAGCGTCTCCAGACCTTGGCGGGGGGAGTTTTCCTAATTCAACGGAGAACTGGTCCCGCAAATACTTCCATTGCTTTCTGATCTTGGCCTCTAAAAAATAAAAATAGAATACTTCTAGGTATCTACAACTTTCTTCATGACAGTCACAATCACAGTTTACAAAATTAAGCCCGTGTTAATTAAATTGTAATGAAGTCATGAGTATTTTTTTGACTTTTATCCTGATTTAATTACAGATATCTAGCAACTGGATCATCATTCAAACAAATTGGATTTTCGTTTAGACTTGGCGCTTCAACCGTAGGACAAATAGTTCAAGAAACAGTTTGTATAATATGGGATGTACTACAGCCTATTCATATGCCAACTCCGAAGAAACAAGATTTTCAAAGGATATCAGAAGAATTTAATAATATTTGGAATTTTCCACACTGTATTGGAGCCATTGACGGCAAACACGTTCGAATTGTTTGTCCTAAAAATTCAGGATCAATGTTTTATAACTATAAGCACTATTTCTCTGTTGTTGTACAGGGCGTAGCGGACGCTAATTACAAATTTATTGTTGTAGAAATTGGCGGTTACGGTAAACAAAGTGACGGCGGTACATTTCAGGCCTCCGAACTATATCGTCAATTAAAAAATGGCACACTAGCAATTCCGGAACCATGCAATTTTCCGCAAACAAAAACCAAGGCGCCTTTTGTACTAATAAGTGACGAGGCATATCCACTCCTGCCTTTCCTCTTGAAACCTTTTGGTGGAAGAAATTTGAGTATTGAGGAGGAATGTTTTAATAAACGCCTATCTCGTGCTAGAAAAACCATAGAATGTACATTTGGTATAATCACTGCAAAATGGCGTATACTTTCAAAATGTATTGAAACCAATATTACGACAGCTGACAATATTATTAAATGTATTTGCATTCTACATAACACAATTATTGATAAGGAAGGTTTCGAAAGACATCTTAGTGAAGTATCTGTCGAAAATTGCACAGAAACTACAGGTAAAAAAGCGACGGGAAGACCTCTGAATGACGCTAAAAATATTCGCGATATTTTTGTAACATATTTTGCTCACAATACTTTGTCATACAAAACCTAGATTAAGCTTTTCAAATAATACTGCAATACAATGTAAATAATATCACTACAAATACACCTAGGTACTTACCATCCTGTTTTATTTCAATGCTTATTTCCTTCCAGTATCTGTCAACCACATTGCGATTGCTATGTAGCTTATCCCTCTTGTTCCAAATAGCTGTTCTTTCAAACACCGCAGCAATAAGCAATTCTTTATCCATCACAATATACTACTCACTCGCGCGACAAAAGCCGAAATAAACTAAATTTTGAATACCGTGAGCGCCTGCGAGCAGGTTATCCGCGCGGACCTGCTGCAACCTGTTTTCACTGTGTGTACGTTCATATGAATACACGTGATAATTCTTAAAGCGATAAACGCGAGATGGCGCAGGTTACCGGTAAGCGAGAATCTCGCGTGCACTGTGTTCTTACACTATAGTATCTCGAGAACGCGCGAGTCAAAACGCCTCATCTGATCAGGCTTTTATACTGTTTCTCGGTTATCAAGTGTAGTCGGACTATCGCAATCTCTGTTAACGAGTTCTAGCATTTTCTCTTTGTTTTGAATGAGATCAGAATTTATTTTTGAATAATAGTTTTGTACGCTCTTTGTGGCTGTTGGTATAGTCATTGAGGAGTAATTGGTCGATTTTGATATCGAATGGTTCATTCGACGTAATATGTCCATTGATTATATCTATAGGCTTTAATTTTGTGACAATGTAAGATGTGGTTGTAGGCTAAAATGGCATACAGCATTTTCATTTTTATAGGGGTTTTCTGAAAGCCTTCTGTGTTCAACAATCTTAAATGTTTGGTGATAGTTGAATGAAATCGTTCAACGACTCCATTAGAATCTGGATGATTTGGCGAAATAAAATGAAGCTTAATTTTATGAAGTGACAAAAGTTCAGTTACAACGGTATTTTTGAATTCAGTGCCATTATCTGCCATAATTCGGGTAGAAATTCCATGATGAGAAAAGAATAATATCAGATTATCAGCAATTTCAGTTCCTGAAAGCGAAGTAATCTGATATGCTTGAGCATATTTAGAAAAACTGTCTATAATTGTGAAAAATTTTGAACCTTCAAAAGTGAAAGTATCGATATGTACGATTTCAAAAGGTTTTGATGCAGTGGGGGTGAGATTCATCGCAATTTTTATCGGATGACGCACATATTTTCATTGTTGACAATTTTCACATTCATTTGTAAATGTTTGAATTTTTTTTCAAGTTAGGCCAAAAATATTTTTCTTTTATTCTCTGATGCGTTTCCTCAATTCCACGATGATTCGACTTGCTTTTGTGGTAATTCCGGATAATGTCCTTGATATCAGTTTTATTTGTAACGTCGACTAATTTGGTTCTACACATTTTCAATTTCAAAGTATCGGACTTAAACATCCTTTGTAGAACAACAGAAAATTTTTCATATATATCAGGATTTTCAAAGTATAAGTGATAAATTACGTTAGGAGCAATATAATCTCGAATAAATTTAAATACATCATCGTCAAAATCATTTTCTGAAAATTTTACGTTAATTCGTTGTTTGCTTTCAAATAAAATACAAATTTTTGGTGGTGCAGGTGAATGTGTTACTGTATTTATGATAATCTGATTATTTCCCTGATTCGCATTTGAATGTACAGTTTCGTCTGGATTTTCAGGACGATTATTTTGATATTCTAGATTGACTTGTTCATGTTCAATGATATCTACAGTTTCGTCTGGGGGTTGAATGAAAATACTGTCTTCGTCATTATCGACGTTTACGAACATAGATTCGGTATCAGGTTGTTTTGGGGTAGAAGAGTTAAATGTAGGTGTACTTCATTCAGATGAGCCTTTCTGAACTGGTCGGTCAAACTTAACGTTTTGGTGTTGAGTACCCGCGCATTCTTGAATCAAATCATCTAAGTCGTTCCAAAATGAACTGGTTTCTTTTGTATGGATCTCTACACGAGACAGGTCATCTGCATTGGTATTCAGTTTGCCTTTCTTATAGACGATATTCATATCATACTCGTCTAACCTGATTTTACATCTTATTAATCTTGAAGAAGGGTCTCGAAGGGACCATAAGTATTTATATCTATATATATAGATTAGTGGATTAGTGGTTTCTTCGGTGGTTGTAATTTTTCTTTTAAAAAAATTGCGAATGTCCATTTTTTTCTAAAAAAACATTAATTAAAATATAAGAAAATAATGACAAATTTATGAATCATTTTACCTGATGTAAATTGCAACTTGTGTGTGTTTAATTTAATTAAAACCAATAAGAAAAAGCTACTTCCTATGAAATAACTTTCAGCAGAAACTCAAGCTTCAACTTAGGCATGTAAAAAAATAAGATATCGGCGTATATAAAGAGAAACTAACCTCAAATCGCGGTATACGCACATTAGCCGCTTGACGACAACTATAGCACAGCGCTGACTCACGGCCGCGGCGCGCGGCGGCGGCGTAGACGGACACTTGCACATGGAGCATAAAGGTGCGTATACATATGCGAGCCGAGCGGTTCGCGAGCCGCTTGTGAGAAACTTGTTCGGCTAATTGGGACGGGGTTTATGGTTCCAAACGAACTGCTTGTGAGCAGATCGTGAGCCGCTCGCGACGAGCCGCGGCCTGTCGGTTTTTTCGACGAACACAAAGGAATTCGCAGTGCATATTGGGACGTGTTTAGACAAGGTTCGTTGTTTTTCTTTAGCTCGCGAGCGAACTTTATTTTTCTTCAATAAAGTTATGGATTCATGGTCGGAAGAAAAAATATTATGTCTGATAAACGTGTATACCGAAGTATTACGGCTAACCTAGAATATTAATTTAAAAAAAATGTTAAAAAACAAAGCTACCTGTCCACGGTACACCGACTTACCTATCTTGGGCAGAGATTGGAGTACGAAAATAAGTCTCCTGTTTTGAAATATGCTATATCCTTTGCAACAGATTCTCAAAGTCAGTAGGTGTCATTCGAGTGAAATTTTTATACTGTCCGCTTATTTCTTGCGACTTTAGGTCCATTAAAATTCCCGTACCACTGTGTTTCTTGAATAAATTAGTACACCACCAACGTCGTTGTTTTCTCTTTTTTTTATTTACATCAGCCATTACTAAAACTGCAGCACCCAGCAAAATAGTATAATTTTCGTTTCGCGAAGCCCTACTGCATTTGTCGACTGCGATGTTTGTTTGCGTTTGGTGCGCTGAATCTGTGGATCGCTGGAGGTTCGCTGAAAAAATCATTTCAACGAACCACCATCGAGCGGCTCACAAGCGGCTCGCGAACCGCTCGGCTCGCATATGTATACGCACCTTAACGTGACTTCCTATTGCACAAGCGCCAGGGTTAGGCATCATTCACACTAGCGCGAATTTCGCGGATTTTTGTCAAAATGCGTCAAATCCAGATTTAAAAAAATCCAGAACAAAAAAAGGCGAAATTAGCCCTAGTCTGTTAGCGTCTGTTTATGAATACAATACACGTTGCTCTGCTACAAGTTTATTTCTAATATTTTTATCCTAAAATTGTTTTTTATGTAGATAGTAAATATAAAAAAACCATACCAAATAATCAGAATCTCAGGGGGGGCCGCGGCCCCCCCTGGCCCCCCCCTGGGGGCGCCCATGTTCCGTCCTGGTAAACAATGTCTGAAAACTCTCTGTAAAGTTGAAGTATCTTTGATTTCTCTTTAGAATTTAGGTGATCAATCCTGATTTTCGACAAATCTAGGTAAAATTTTTCTGATGTGTCTAAATAATTGAGATCAATTTCTGGCATTTCTGATAAATTAAATGATACTACTGAAATCGGCTGAGAAAAACTCAATGTAACAGGCTTAGTAGTGTTATTCAAAATCGTTATCAGCGCAAAATTATTTTTTGCTATAGTAAGACATTCAGGTATCTCACAATTATGAAATTTTTGATGAGGAATTACGATTTCACCATTGGCGATATATGTTTTGATTTTTATTACTTGTTCGGTTCGAGGTGCGACGGTTATCAAATTTAAGTCGTTAGAAAGCTGGTGAAATTTTAGTCTAATTTTGGCGTAGGGCGTATGTAAAGTTCCTTTGCTTAAATTAATATCAGCTCTCAATAATTCTAGATTATCTAATCCAATCAATCCATCAAATATTGTGAAATTTAAATAGGTAAAACTTCAAATCCATACGATTAGGAAGATTGAAAATTTTCGATGCCGGGGTGGATGCACTATATTTGTGAGCGGATTTTTGAAAAACAGTTGATACAACAAATGGATCATCTCTGACTAAATTTGGAAAACATCTACGGGCAATACTGGGATCAATAAATGATTTAGTTGATCCAGAATCGATTAACATTTTAATTTCATATTCGGGAAAAAGAATGTAGGATAGTTCGCTAGCATTGCTGGCGTTAAGTGAAATTACCTCTGGTGCTAGGTTTTGTGGTCTATGAATGAGTCCTTCTGAAAATTTTGAGGTGGTTCTACGTGATCAGTTTCAGGATTGCTGCGCCAATTATTTGACCGAGTCAGTCTACTTTCTTTTTAAAAAGATTTATTTTCGACTATCAAAATACAAATTCTATTGATGTATATAGTATGAGCGCTAACAACTGTGAATACAATAAAATAAGATTGGATAAGGCAAAGTGCTGATCCAGGGAAACTCGATCCTCTTCTTTAGTGGTAGGGGTAAATCTTCTGTACTATAACGAGCTAACTTTTTGTTTTTGATCTACCTGCATTACAATATCAATTCCACAGTTTTTATATCAGCCTTTCAGCTAGATCTATTGCAAAGTTCAGACGTGACTTTCTACAATCAAGCTTTTTTTAAAGAATATAACTGTTCAATACAGTTATATCTAAGAAACGGAGCAAAATTTTCCTATACTTTTTGAGGTGTGTACGTGACATTGCATAAAAATGGATCATGTTGTCTGTCAAATCTACCCCGCACATTTTTTGATTAAGGTAGAATAGGGAGTTTTTTTTACAGGACCGTCGCCAGGCCGCAACCTGGAGCGAGCGGGTCTACGAACCGCCTTTGTGCTGGAACCGCCAAGATGGCATAACTTCACGCACGCAGGCTGTCTTGTCTTCATCGTCTTGTTCTTCAGTCGTCCGATCGCACCCTACATCTCCCATCCCGGATCTGCCGGATTAGGAGTTCTTGGATGTTTGTATTCTATCGTCTGCCTTCTTCAGTTCACGAAGGACGAGATCATATGCCAGTGATTCTCGCTGGCAAGCATCGTGGGCACCGCCGACTCAGGTGTGAAGGTTGATCCTATTTGCTGTTCAAACTGGTTCCTCAGTACAGCCCATATCCTACAGACGAAGAAGGTGTGTTCGGCTGAATCGATGTCCTTATGGCAATAGCGACATTAGGGACTATTCTTAATGGTACGCAGGTTTAGGTATCGGTTGTAGTTTCCGTATCCTGTAAGAAACTGAGTGATGTAGAAGTTTACATCCCCATGTTTCCTATAGTACCAAGGTTCAACCTGCTGAATGAGCGTGTGCGTCCAGGAACCCTTAGGGTCGTTCTCCCATCTTGCCTGCTACTCATGAAGGGTCCGTTGCCTGACTGCAGGTTTTGGTAGGTCACGGGTGTCGTACAACCTTTGACGCTGCAGGGCCAAAACATCAATCGGTATGGCGCCTGCCACTACCAAAATGGCCCCCTCAGCGACAGTGCGATACGCTGACGATATTCGCAGAGCTGCTGTTCTCTGAACTGATGCGAGTCTTCTTCTGTAGGTTTCGATAGTCATTGCGTTAGCTCAGATTTCCGCTCCGTACAGCATCATTGAATTAGCGACGTTCATCAGTACCCGCCTCTTATCTGCTCTAGGACCATCGACGTTTTTCATAATCCTAGATCGCGCGGTCACAACCTTTAAGGCTTTGTTTGCCACTTCTATGAGATGTTGCTTGTAAGTCAGTTTTTGGTCCAACCATATTCCCAAATACTTCACCATTTCATGAGAGGTGATGGCAGCTCCCGAAAGGTTGAGCACCAGGGGTAGGGAATGCAGTCTTTGTCGGGTGAGCACGGTCTTGTCTGCAGCCATTTCTGAGCCGTGCTGTTTCATCCAAAAGTGCACCTAGTGCGCTGTAAACTCGGTTTCTAGGCGCGCAGTCTCCATGTCCTGGCAGTTACCACGGCAACGATATCGTCAGCGAACCCCACTAGTTGGACACATTTTGGTAGCTCGATTCTTAGGCTCCCATCGTACATCGCATTTCATAGGTCCGGCCCAAGTGCAGAACCCTGGGCTACACCGGCAGTGACTTTCTGAACCTGCCGACCTTCTATGGTTTCGTAAGTCAGACTTCTGTTGGAAAGGTAGTCGTTAATCACTCGTAGTAGGTAGGCCGGAATCTTGAAGCGCTCTTCTAGGGCATTCATGATATCGACCCACCTTGCTGAGTTGAAGGCATTTTTCACGTCGAAGGTGATCAGAACGCAAATGCTGCGACTGCGGTGATTTCCTCGCCAGGCCGTGTACGCTTGTTCCACTACCTCTCGCAGTGCTCCTACTGTTGAATGGCGCGGTCGGAATCCATGTTGATGGGCGGATAATCCTCCAGCGTCTTCGATTGCATCACGTAGTCTCTGTCGAATAAGCCTTTCAAACATTTTGCACGCATCGTCCAGCATACATAGTGGTCTAAACGATGATGGTGTTATGGGTAGACCCTTTCCTTTGTTTAGTAGTACTAGCCTCTGTACCTTCCATCTGGTTGGAAAGATACCTGCTTGGAGGCAAGTGTTGTACGTATTCAGCAGAATAGTCGGCTGTTCGAGCGCTATAGCTTTAATAATCTCTATCGGGACACAGTCGGGACCCGGGGACTTCCTGACTTTCGATACGATAGCGACGGCTTTCAATTCTTCTTCAGTGAAAAGATCAAAGTTTCCGTGTACTTGAAAATC